GGGCAGGGAGCAGTTCCCTGCCCCCCCTGCAAGAGTTACTTACTCCCTGCGCCTGCCGGCCCCAGCTCACCTCCGCTATCCCCAGAGCGCGCCACTACTCGCTTCTCTACTCCCTCCCTCCCAGCGCTTTCGCGCGGCAAGCCTGGGAGGGAGGGGGGAGAATGGGAGTTGCGGTGTGCTTGGGGGATGGCGGCGGTGGAGTGGAGGTGAGCTGGGGCGGGGAGCGGTTCCCGCCCCCCCCCCAGGTTACTCCCCATGCCCGCGGGCCCCAGCTCACCTCTGCTCCGCCTCCTCCGAGCACACCGCTACTTGCTTCTCCCTCCCTCCCAGTGCTTTCGCGTTGCAAGCCTGGGAGGGAGGTAGAAGGAGGAAAGCGTGGCACGCCTAGGGGAGGAGGCACGAACAAATTTGCCGCCTCTGCAGATTTGTTGGCCTAGGTGATAATACGCCGCTGTATGTACATACACGGCAGCATACTTTACTTGAGTTTGAAGAAGGGCTGATTGCACCCAGTACACAAAGATATGTGCAGAAATGTGCATGAACCCTGTCACCCTTCTGAAAAATCAAGCCATTAGCATTTACTTTATAGGATTCTAAACACTCCGCAAACAATATATGTACTTTTTTAAGGTGCAGAATTTTTGTAAAGACTAGCCTGTGGAATTATCTCTCTGCTTTGGTTTAGTTTTTGAAGTAGATGCCAGGTTTACCTTTTAAAGTGCTCTCTTTCCTCCTGTATCTGACATATAATGTTAAAAAGTCAAACCAAAGAAGATAAAAATGTGTAAAGATTGTGTACTTAAAACAATCAGCAACTGGTGTGACCCCTGGTGCTGTAGAGAAGGAGTACAGTGAATTCATATGAACTTAAGAGATTTGTGGGAGTGGGGAGGGAGGGAGGGAGAGAGCGAGCACACGTCTTACAAAGACACTTAGCATCAGCAAAGAAAGGTCTAGGAACTAGAGTCCAGGCTTTTGGGACTGCTCTGATGCCTACACTAATGACCTATTCTCTGAAAATGACTGTTGCTCTCCACTCAGTTTCCAATTCACTGCAATATACAATTGGAATCCAATGTACTCCATGTGTGTTTGACTAGCTCTCTTGATATGGATAGCACAGGTAGGGTTGCAAACTTTCTAATTGCACAAAACTGAACACCCTTGCCCCACCCCTTCCACAAGGCTCTGCCTCTGCCCCACACTCACTCCTCCTCCCTCCTTCTATCACTCGTTCTCTCCCATCCTCACTTACATTGTCCGGGGTGAGGGAGGTGGTGAGGGCTCCAGCTGGGGGTGTGGGCTCTGGGGTGAGGCCAGAAATAAGGGGTTCAGGATGCAGGAGGGGGCTCAGAGCTGGGGAAGGGGGTTGTAGTGCAGGAGAGGGTACAGGGTGTGAGCTCTGGGAGGGGGCTCAGAGCTGGGGTTAGGGTGCGGAAGGGGATGCAGGCTCTGGAAGGGAGTTAGGGTGCAGGAGGGGGTTCTGACCTGGGCAGGGGTTAGGGGTGTGAGCTCCAGGAGGGGCCTCAGTGCTGGGGTGCAGGCTCTGGAAGAGAGATTAGGTTCAGGAGGGGGTTCCGACATAGAGCAGGGGGTTGGATGTGGGTGGGGGTTCTGGGAGGGAGTTAGGGGGCGCAAGAGGGTTCTGACCTGGGGCAGGGGGTTTGGGGTGCAGGCTCCAACCAGGCGGCACTTACCTCAGGCGCCTCCCAGTCTGCGGCGCAGCAGGACTAAGGCAGGCTCCCTGGGCTCAGCAGTGCTCCCGGAAGTGGCCGGCCCCTAGGTGGAGGCGCAGCCAGGCGGTTCTCTGTGGTGCATGCTGCCCGCACCCACAGGCGCAGCCCCACAGCTCCCATTGGCTTCGGTTCCCTGCCAATGGGAGTTGTGGAGATGGCACTGGAGGTCGGGGGTAGCACGTGGAGCTTCCCTGACCGCCCCTGCACCTAGGAGCTGGACACACCGGCCGCTTTGGGGGAGCTGTGCGGAGCCAGGGCAGGCAGGGAGCCTGCCTTACCCCTGCTGCGCTGCCCACTGGACTTTTAAATGGCCCAGTCATCGGTGCTAACTGGAGCAGCCAGGGTCCCTTTTCGACTGGGCATTCCGTTCAAAAAGTAGATGTCTGGCAACCCTAAGCACCGGTTCTTTCATCATCTATTCTGTGAACAGATGGGTCAGCATCACAAGAAAAAAAAATAAATCAGAACTAGGCTGCAGATTTTAAGACCATCAAGCACCAGCGGAAAAAAATAACCCCACTGTCACTCAAATGTAAAGTTCCTTACTGTTTGCTGTACAAGATGCATGCTGAAACAATAAAAAAAAAATCTCCACACATTATACCCTGTTCAATATCTTTTCTGAAGTTCTTGGTAGATCAGTGACAAGAGGACACGGTCAGGAAGCAATCAGAGACCACATACAAGCCTTTAATCTCTAGGACACTGCTTCAAAACCAGACCAGCTGAATACAAGTCAGTACCATCAGCTCTTTATTCATGTTTATACCATGAGTTGGGCATCTTAGTTCAAGTCCTTGTGGACAAGTGTTCACAAAACACACCTTTGCAATTAACACCCTTGCTGGCATTCTCAGTAGGGGAAGTCAAGATGAAATGCACTTGTTTCTTACTTTTACTCCAGGTCAGGGGGATGTGGAAGATCTTTGCATTGCCTCTGCCAGACTGTACCTATTTGGTGCCTGGATGAATTCATTTTCCAGATGTTCTCCTCACCACCAGAAAATTAACATGTGAGAGATCGTTTAGTTGCATTCTCCAATTCTGGCCAGGCATTTGGGGATATTAATTTCATCATCACAATTATGCTTCTTTAATCTGTTTTAGACAAATGACAAAGAACTGTAACATGAGAAAATTCTCTCTTCTGTCATTACACCCCCATATGCACACACAGCAAGGCCTCAATAGAGGTGCTGTAACTGAAATTAGAAAGTACAAAGATGCAAGAAAACATATATAGTATCCATATCCTCACAGAGTTAGCCCAACTTTGCGTAACCTTTTCCTCTGTGCTCATCTGGAGATTAGGGTGGATGTTTGGGTTGGTTCTGATTCCATCTGAACCAGCCTACTCATCCATTACTACTCACTATAAAATTACTAACGTGTACCAGTGGTGGACTTTCTCCGATTTACAGCCTCTCATCCATTTTCAGAATGGGCTTTTGCTTTTTAGGGTGTAGTATTTCAGATCAGATTTAAAAAATGGAAACCCGATATTCTGCCACAGAAAAACAAATTAATTTATGGCATCATAGAAGTCTGTTCTTATTTTTAAATAATTCTGGCAAAAGTGAAATGCATGGGTTATTTTTCAAAGTTAGTATTTAATTAGAAAAATCTAGATGTTCATTTTCTTTGCCTAATAATTGTTCCACCAGCCTTGCAGTGGAAACTGGAAGTGTTATAAGACATCGACAAGTTATCTAGTTACATTATAGCTTCTGTAAGCATCTTTCTATCCTCTGCACAGCTATGATGCTGTAGCTTCTTACTCTCCAGTGAATCACAACAGTCATCTCTATGCCTTCTGCTGCAACAGCACTAGGGCTATTTGGCCTCTTACATTAGCGGCTTATTACTGCAAAGTCCACAATCACTTTAATAAAAACAGAGCTACATTTCACAGATTTTGTAGAATCCTTCCCTAAAAAATTCATAAATTACAAAGTCAGAAGGGCCGGTGTAGGGTGACCAGACAGCAAGTGTGAAAAATCAGGACATGGGGTGGGGGGGGGTAATAGGAGCCTATATAAGAAAAAGACCCAAAAATCGGGACTGTCCCTATAACATCGGGACATCTGGTCACCCTAGCCCAGTGTGATTATCTAGTCTGACCTCCTGTGGTTGTGGAAGCTCCTTCACTGGAGGTTTACAAAAGGAGGCTGGATAGCCATCTGCCTTGGATTGTTTAGACACAACCAATCCTGCATCTTGGGATGGGGCTAGACTAGATAACGCTTGCTGTCCCTTCTAACCCTATGATTCTATGCACAGGCCATAGAACTCCCTTGAATTAATTTCTC